CCGTTGAAATTGATAGTGCAATTTATATTGTGTTATTGTAGCCTGCACTCTCAACCATAACAGGAATCTACAAATGGTATCAGTCTCACTGTTCACCAGAATGTACCACTTAATTAATACAAGGTGAAGGTGACTCGGCTTTCAGATGTTGATAAGCTTTTGGTTCAGCAGAATAATCATCCCTGAAACCAGAAGGAAAAGAATAAAAAGTGAAAATGCAAACTCTTGATGTAAATTCGAAAAGAATAACTGCCGCTTGTTTTCTTGATCATTTTCTTCCTCTTGAACTGTCATTTGCTAAACCAGTTAGAAGTAGAAGAATTGGCTCTCCATTAGAAAATAAGTTGATTTCTGCAGATAGCCTGCTGTCACAATTAAACTTCCTTCAGGCTATAAAATTGAGTTGTACGACATGTCAAAAACATAGCATCAAAAATCTCTTTGGCCAACCTGCCCGAGAAAGCACCCAATCGTCATCATTGGTGACTTGAAACACATTGGTACCAAGTAGCTTCTTCTCCTTGACATATGCACTTGACATATGCAATCTTAGCTCTGATAGCTTCCGCATCATTAAAACCAATCCAACTCAATCCTATGATGCAATAATTCACAGCATAAGTAGAAGCGTTATACATTATGGGAGCTCCGTAGCTTCGAATGTACCACTTGATGTACTTATAAGTTATAGCTCGTGGAACCGTCTTTTGTCTCAGCTTTGCCGGCTGCAGATGCCCCAATTCCATTATTGTCTTGGGGGTTCACAAGTGTCCACGCATATAGCCATGGTAAGGCAAACCCAAAACCAGTTTGCTAGCAGGAAATGAGTTGTTTAGCCATTGCTTTATACTATAGCTTTGTTTAGCAAAGCTGAGCCTTGAGATAATGAATCAATTAGACATGGTATGCATTTATGTTCTAGCTATGTTCATTCATGTGCGCTTAGGGTTGAGGGAAAATTTATGCATTGTTTGTGTGTGTTGCATGTGTATACAGAGGTTGCTTATCTTCTTAGGTGCCTTTTGTCATATTTCCTCAAATCAGTAAAATATTTAAATATTCACTAAACAAATAATAATTAAAACATAATTACTAATTAAAGTAATTTAAAAAGCTAAGATATTACTTAACTACATATATTAAAGTAAAGAAGTTGGCCAAAAAAACAAAAGTAAAGAAACTAGTTATATATATTTTTAAAAAGCATAAAAACCTCTCCCGAAGAAAATATATAGCCGTTCGGCTATACCCGTTTTTTATAATTTTTATTTATTTAAAGAAATAGTATCCTCGCGTGGCTATAATCTGTACTTCCTATTTTTTTCAAAAGATATAATATCTTTAATTAATAATTTCAATTCTTAATGTTTGCATTAACCAAGAGCATTTTCTGGTATTTTGAATGTTTCACCATTTTCTGCTTTTTGCTTGATATATATAGATAATATCGCCGAGCGGCTATACTCGTTTTTTCTAATTTTTATTTAAAGAAATAGTATAAAAAGGAATATTAAAGCCGGTCGGCTATACTCGGTTTGTTCCAATTTTTTTAAAAAGAAATAGTAACGCCGGGCGGCTATACTCGGGTTTTTCCAGTTTTTTAAAAAGAAATAGTATAGTCGAAAGGCTATATTCGGGTTTTCTAATTTTTTTTAAGGGTTATTCGCAACAATGGTCCCTCAACTATACCCGTATTTACAGTTTGGTCACTCAATTCAATTATTAGTTGCAGAGGTCACTCAATTGGGTGTTGTGTTGCACCGTTAGTCCCTACCGTCAAGTCTCTCTAATGGTAGGGACTAATGGTGCAGCACAACACCTAATTCAGTGACATCTGTAACTATTTTTTGGAGTTGAGTGACCAAAATGTAACTCCCAGTATAGTTGAGGGATTATTGCTACAAATAATCCTAACTGAAAAGTCATATTTGCCCATCAATAATTTAAGAGATGCTTGTCACGTCATCATTTTAAACAGAAAAAGTCACAGACTTGACGGAAGGACTAATGGTGCAACAAAACACCTACTTGAGTGACCTCTGCAACTAATAATTGAATTGAGTGACCAAATTGTAAATACGGGTATAGTTGAGAGACTATTGCTGCGAATAACCCTTTTTTTAAAAGAGAAATAGTATAGCCGACCGGCTCTACTTTGTTTTTTAATTTTTTAAAACAAATAGTTTAGCCGACCGGCTATACTCTGGGTTTTCAATTTTTATAAAACAAATAGTACAGCCGCACGGCTATACGCTTTTTTTAATTTTTTAAAAGAAATAGTATAGCCAACCGGCTATACTTTATTTTTTCAACTTTTTAATATAAATAGTATAGCATTACGGCTATACTCTGTTTTTAATAACTTTTTTATTAAACAAATACGCTATACTCTTTTTAAAACTTTATTGTTACAGAAAGCGTATAGCCGCGCGGCTATACTATATTTTTTCTCTTTTGTTAAAGAAATGTTATAGCCGTGCGGCTATACGCTGTTATTTCTAATTTTTTTTTTATAGCTATACTCGTTTTAATTTTTTTTTACAGAAATAGTATAACCTTCCGGCTATACCCTGTTTTTTCTAATTTATTTATTTTTTATAAAAGAGGCTATACTCGTTTTTTCCTACTTTTTAAAAAGAAATAGTATAGCTGGCCGGCTATACTCGGTTTTTTCCAATTTGTTTAATAAAAGAAATCGTGTAGCCGCACGGCTATACACCTTTTTAAATTTTTATTTAAATAAATTATAGTAAAATATTATATAGTGGCCGTGATATCTATAAAGTATAAACTAATGGAACTAGGAGGGTCCCTTTTTCATAATGTTTTTTTATTAAATAGTATAGCCAATCGGCTATACCACTTAAATATAATGTATTTAAATAATATAGCCGCCCGGCTATACTAGTATTTGGTTAGGAGAGGTCTAATACGGCAAGTTTCGCCGGGATAGACATGTGCCGAGGTAATTTCATCGGGGAGGTTTAAACAAATATATATAAACTTAGCATGTTTATGTTAATTAATTTTTTTAATTTTAATTTTAGTAATTAAATAATATCTCTTCCTTATTTAATTATTTAAATTATTATTTATTTAGTGAATAATCAGTATTAAATGTTTTAATTAACTTCACGAATTATATCACTTAATAAATAATAATTCAATTTTTCTATTTTTTTTCCTTTAATATTCACTAAGTAAATAATAACTAAAACATAAATACTAATCAAAGTAATTAAAAAAGAGAAAACCATATTATGCTACTTAAAAGGGTATAGCCGTGCGGATATACGGTTAAAATATTCTATTTTTGGCGTATAGCCGCCCGGCGTTACGTTTAAAATATTTCATTTTTGGCGTATAGTCGCTCGGCAATACATTTAAAATATTATATTTGTAGAGTATAGCCACTCGCGATACATTTAAAATTTTCTATTTTTCCCATTTCAGAATATCTTACATTATTAGTCAAATGAAATTTTTTAACAGATACCTCAAAATCATACTTCAATTTTTTATTATTTGATTTCCTTATCTATTATGTTACATTATTAGTCAAATGAAATTGCAGATGAAGCCTGTTCTCATGTTTGAGTATTTCCATTGTTGAACCAGGTTGCAACCTTGGCCCCCAATGTCCCAGACACGTATGAGCTGCATTTTGCAGTTCCAATGACGGGCAGTTCTTTGCACACTAAATGCACGCCTTGATTCAGCTATGTTATCTGTCCTGCTGCTGAGTCATTCTGAGGCGAAAATCGTCTTTGTAGACTACCAGTTACTTGAAATTGCCCAAGGAGCAATTGATCTTCTCACCCCAAAAACAGATACAAAACCACCTTTTCTTGTTTTAATTGCTGACTCTGATGGGTCATCTAGCACATCTCCCACCATATGCACTTCAAACACCTATGAATATGAAAGTCTTCTGGAAACTGGAAATTGTGGATTTGAGATAAGAAGGCCAAGGAGTGAATGGGATCCTATCAGTGTCAATTATACCTCCGGCACAACATCCAGGCCGAAAGGGGTTGTTTACAGTCACCGGGGCGCTTATCTTAATGCATTGTCTACGGTTCTGCTTCATGGAATAGGCTCAATGCCTGTTTATCTATGGACTGTGCCTATGTTTCACTGCAATGGGTGGTGCCTCACTTGGGGAGTGGCTGCTCAGGGTGGAACTAACATCTGCCTCAGGAAAGTCAATCCAAAACACATATTTGACAACATAGTTCAATACAATGTGACACACATGGGAGGGGCACCAACTGTCTTGAACATGATTGTTAATTCACCGGTCAGTGACCAGAGGCCACTTCCTCGCAAGGTGGAAATAATGACGGGTGGTTCACCACCCCCGCCACAGATCCTTTTCAAGATGGAAGAACTGGGGTTTGGAGTAAATCACTTGTATGGTCTAACAGAAACTTATGGTCCAGGGACTTATTGCTCATGGAAACCAGAGTGGGATTCTCTGCCTTCCAATGAAAGATCAAAGCTTAAAGCTCGACAAGGGGTGCAGCATCTTGGTTTAGAAGAGGTTGACATAAAAGATCCTGTCACTATGGAAAGTGTAACACCTGATGGTAATACAGTGGGTGAGATTATGTTGAGGGGAAACACTGTTATGACTCATGAGTAATTATCTTAAAGAATTGAAAGCAACAAAGGAAGCTTTAAGAGGTGGATGGTTGCGGAGCGGGGATCAAGCTGTGAAACATCCAAATAATTACATCGATCGAAGTGAAGGACCGGTTGAAAGATATAATCATATGTGGGGGAAAGAACGTAAGTACAGTTGAGGTGGAAGCAGTTTTGTTTAGCCATCCAGCAGTTCTTGAGGCTGCAGTTGTTGTGCATTTGCGAAATTGAAGGAGGGATTTGATCATCTGAATACTAAAGACCTAATTGAATTCTGCCAGGATAATTTGCCTCATTATATGGCTCCCCGGACAGTAATTTTCGATATGTATCAAAAACTGCAACTGGAAAGATACAGAAATTTATTCTCAGAGAAAAAGCAAAGGCCTTGGGGAGCCTCTCTTGAACAAGCTGTAACAGGTGTAATTGGAAGGTAACTTGTAAGCAAGGAAAAATTTAAGAAACCAAGCTATACCATTGCATTTATATATGCTTAAGGTTCTCTAATGAAGCTACACTAGCATTGCATGTTTGTTGTAAATTATATCAAGGGAGCAGGAAATAGTACACCATAGCTCATGTAGTGGTTTGTGCAGGATGTTGATGGACATCAAGGCGGATAATGTAGGGATTAACAATCGAACCGCAGTAGAGGTAATTTCCAATCTTGATCCCACTTGAAATGAGAAACAACTCAGGATCATAATAGTGAGCAGTAGGTTCCCCATTCAAATTCACAGCCAACACACCAGCATTCTTCTCCAAATGCGGTCTGCCTGCTGCATACCGCTTCACGATTGCCAGAACCTTTCGAATAAAAGGATATCTAAGTGCTAGATCCCAGTATGGTGTAACCTCCTGCCAATTTGGCATACAAAATGTCAATAAACCATGAAAAAAAAAATGCATCCTTGTTCCATTCAAAACAGAACAACTGATGTGATTTTTCAGAAAAAAGAGAGAAAATGAAGATCACCGTGGCCAAAGCAATCCAGTACTGGCCTTCCCCATCATATCTGATATTATCAGGCAAGCCTGGCAAATGGTCAATAAAATTTTCTACACTCCCTTTTTTACTGCCTTGTAGATAGTATTTTCTACACCTTCTCCTGCAATATTAACCATTTAAGGCAGTAAAAAACTTTGTCCATACTTTAAGATTTAAAAAAAAAAAAACATAAGTCTTTAAGTACTAAGAACTTACATGACAGTTTCACAGAAGACAACGAAGTTTTGATCTGGAGAGACTGCCACTCCGTTGGCAAAGTAGAGGTTGTGGACCAGAACTTTGGTCTCTTTGGTTGTTGGGTTGTAGCTCATCAATCTGCCATGGGGTCTGCCCCCTAAAATATCCGAGATGAAGTCTTTTAAGCTGTATTTGTGTGAAGCATCTGTGAAGTAAAGCATGCCATCTTGTGCTACATCTACGCAGTCTGTTAGCTTGAATTTTACACCCTCGGCCTCATCTGTTAACAGTTCTACTGTTCCGTCCTCACTTATCTTCAATAGCCCCTGATTGAAAAAAATAATAATAACAAGAAGAAAACAAAAAGAAATATTGATATAATTATGAGGCCACCTCCCTCTTACAATATGCACATGAGATTCAGGACCTACATTTATGCATGTTGTGAAACTGTAGGAAACTTAGGTGGGGAGTTGTCTTGCCTGCGAGCTTTGTCAGTGAGAAGCAAGTTTCTATACGAGTTTTGTTCATAAGACCCTACTCTCAGAAAAATTCATGTCAGGTTATATATGTCTGATTAACGTGACAGTACGGATGGGTTACAAATTGTTCTCCATGCATACACCGTAGCAGCGGGACCTACGTGCATGTTGTATGGACCTTACCAACTGAACCAACCCTCATACCAACTGAACCAACCCTCATTGTTACGTTTTTGTTTTTGTTTTTGTTTTTTTGGTAAGAATCCATGTATACTTAACTTTGACCAAATAATAAACATGAACAAATTTAATATGCACTGATAATTAGGATCGAGCTGACCTTTTCTGTGTCAGCCACAAAGACCTCGTTCTTATGGCCGTGAGCGAGTCCAAGCGGCCTCCCACCGGTGAAAACCCAGTTCTCCACCACCGAGTCAGCAGCCGACTCGTTCAGCCTGACTCGCTTGACCCACCCGTCAGCACAACCCGTGTAAATCAGCCCCGACTTTGAGTCATAAGCCACGTCTTC